CGCAGACCTTGCTATATTTATTATGATAAAGTGTTTTGCGAATTAATGGCGAGACGCAAAAGGACATGAAAAACTCAAATGCAGCTGGCTGCATTGGTTTCTCAGGCACACGCGTCAGGCATGTTGATTTCTACGGTTTATCAAAGTTTTGATGACAGAAAGCCGCGCTGCAACGTAGCCACAGGAACCTTTTTTTATGTCGCTCAGTTTACCAACGAGGTAACTGGCTGGCCGCTTCAAAATACTGACGGGTCACAGCAATGCCCTAGGTGGTTAGCACTTGATAAACGATACCCACGGGCAAGTGTCGACAGCGTTAGCCCATCTAACTACAAAACAGCTTGTGCGCCTAGCTGGATAACGGCTTGTGACAGAACGTGTTGGTCGTACGTGTTCGCACGACAAAACAGCCGGCAATGCAGTAGCTTTGGCCTTCGGAGATCCCAGGCTTCGTAAGAACACTACAATAAAGTTGCTTCCATCCATCGTAAGGAAACTTTGCAGACACACTGGGGTTTCATGCATGTGCGTCCGGTCAGTCACACGTGAACTGTGCAAAAGCATTTATTTCATCGTCTACCTTGTCCTTCGAGACAAGCCAAACTCGGCAGCAAGGACACTTTCACCTTTGACAACACCACGCTTGGAATTGCAATCTAGAAAATGCAGTACGTCCAACAACAATAATCCGAACTTCATACTGAGAATTTGATGGCGCACACACTCAGATGAAGCTGCCGTGCGGCGGACGGCCGCGCTAGCTCCAACCTCCAGCTTTAACTGGGCATCCAGCAATCGCATGAAGCAGCGTCGACACAGGGTCTTCGGTCCTCCTTGGGGGCGGCCTAGGTCCGGGCCACGAATTTGCCAGAATTTTCACCGCCAACACGCATCGCAGGCAACTACCACCTCGCACTGTTTACCTTTCGCAGCCGCAGTGCCCATGGCGCCTCCTGTACTTAAAAAACTTGTATAATATGTTTAATTAACAAATATTGACCAATTGGCTCGTCAAACACCTGTGTAGTGTTTTTTGTAGATTTAACGCATTATAAATAAATAATTTATGCATTTAAGTAGCTTTAGGTAATAATTTTTTAAGTGACGTCACTTCCATGCGGCGCAGAAGCCACTTCTGTGTGGGGCTGGCTGCTGCGCCGCGCGGCGCAGGAGATGCTGCCATGACTCATTTGGCAAACGTCCACCTCTCATCGTAGCCATCCGTACAGAACAGTGGTGTCAAACTACACACGGCTACAGTGTACAGCTACAGTGTACTAGTACGCTGTAACACGGCTGCTACTATTGCCGCCGCGCTCACCGACTGAAGAAAAATTTGGAGGCTGTTACGTTCAAGGACCACGTGACTCGTCGTACTGCGCCTACTCCGCTTTTGAGGCGAGAGCACTGCAAACTGCTCCTGACTGCTCTCGGCGCAGCAAAAGCACTCTCGCTCTACCAGTGGATGACAGTGCTCCTGCACCTGTTCGACCACTGAAACACGCCGGCTCTGAAGAGAGCATTTTAAGCGCGCTCTTGAGTGCTCCTTCTCTCCCAATGGAATTCGCCATTATTCTTACACCGTGATCACTATATAGATGAGGAACGTTGCTATTTTGTAACAAAAACAGAAACGCGAACAACGTGGTACCGCAGGTGCGTCGACGTAAATAAGAACGGTGGTCCTCTGCTAACTTTCCCGAGAGTGATGAGCAAGTTCGCCAACTATGGCGCTTCCGTCGGCACGCGTTAAATGAATAACTGGAGAGCCGCATAAACACTCATTCAACAGGTAGATGTCCCACCGTAACAAATTATTTACACTGTTTACTCTTTCCGCAACGCAGGCGCCTGCCTGAAGACAAAGGATTCACGTAGGCGCGAGTGGGGTCGAGCGGGTTGATGAGCAGTACGGAATGGGACGGATCTGTCTCCCTCTGGGGACGGTCTTTGGCGCTATCTAGAGAGGATGTGGTCGTATTCTTGCGAGTCACTCGGATGTCTTTTTTCTTGTACGGGCAAAGGTTTCGCCGACGTCTCGGACATATGAGTGAGTGGTGTTTTTGTTATGGTCTTGATTCAAAGGCCGGACATTGAATTTCTCGGCCAGCGTTGCCATGCTTTCAGAATAAATGTGCTGTGGTAGCTCCTCGCGAGTTTTTTTTTTTTTTTAACAGCGTTTGCTTTTAATTTCTCTAAATGCACATGTCGCTGCTTATGCTCGTGCATCTACACTCTCGCGTTATTTGCGGACTGGACAAATTCGACTGCGACATTCGAATAAAGTACCCGATGACCTAGAGCTAAAGGTGTTGCTATCGTGCGTAATATTTAAAAAAAAGCCTATAGGTATTATGTGCAGCACTAACAAAAGCGAATAAAGCAATTACGCGTCACAATACGTCGCTGAATTCCTCGTGCTTTGGAGGAAGTAATGGCACATTTTAAACGAGCTCCCGCGCCAGTAAGGAAGCCTCCACGCGAGCAGAGCGACTAAAAACATTCTATGAAAACACGTCACATTATAAATCCTATGGTAATATCTGTCCAGAGGCAGTTAAACAGCTGAACGGAAAGAGGATATTGTGTGGTGGAAATTGCAGAGCGGGGCGATTCCAAACCGTCGCCTGTACAGTAAATGGCACCCGGAAGTGTTTAACCCCAAATGTGCGCACTGTAATAGCACTGCAAGTCTAGTGCCCACTGTCTGTCCTACAACGATCCAAGCAGAAACGTACAATCCAGAGACGCCGGAGAACAACGTGAAGTCCTCGTTGTCTACCGCCGCCCAAGGGATTCCAGCATAGCGGCATGAGCAGAGACCAAGAACTCCTTCCACGTGCTTACTTTTCACAGATAAAATTCCAACAGTATCATTGATCATCTAACGCATCAACGAGTGCTACAGATAAGGAGCAGCGACTCAGATTTGTTCCGTTACGTCTGTACAGCTGCTCGTGCCTCCGACGATTTAACTCAAGGTTAACAAGGCGAAGTTGGCAGGCGTTTCAGTCGTGCATTGAAGCCAGCGTTCGACGCATGCTTTGCGCTCGTACGTGCCGGAGCGCCATTAGATTCGCGCGCGCCCTTCGTGTTTGTCGTCTTCGAGCGACATATTGTCCTCCACGTTAACGAACGCATAAGAGAAAGGAAATCGGACACTTATTTGATGGTAACACACAATCATTCACGCCATTCCAGTGTCTATGGATTCTTTCTAAGGCTGGTATATTGAATATAATTTACTTCCAAAAACAAGCGGTGGCTGTAACCCACGGAGCACGAATGTGGCCTCAACCGTATCGCACGAGACGTGGAACGAGCTCGTTATGATGAGCGCGCACGCCGCGTCTAAGGCGTTCACCAATTTCGCCTGCACCGAAGAACTGAGAGGATCGGCCGTGGCAGAGTGGATTTTGCGATGAGCGCTCGAAGCATTCATCAGGCAATCCACGGCTTTGAATAATTGCACACCATGCGAAGGAAGTGGCCGGGTATGGTTGATTGCGGAAAGAGAGGACGCTGAACTTCGGTGACTTATTTATTGAAGTTCTTATTTATCGACCTATTTATTGATTATTTATTGAATTTTGGTGACTTATCTAATTGCCGGCCGCATTTCAATAAAGGCTTCGATGAGAGTGCTCCTTAGAGAACCGCAGGTGATCTAAATTATTTTGGTCGTGCTTCATAATTTTGACCCTCACAAATTACCGGCAGAATCTTCGATTACAAATCGGTTATGCGGAGTAGGTTGCTTCTGTGTACGGTATTATGTTGAACGCATTTTTAGCGTGCGTTAAACCAATCAAGGGAAGACGCATATGGCTCCGACACATGGCAATGTAAAGGACAAAGTTCATTCGACGAAAGCGGCAGTCCCGTCGATACACCTCGGACCCAAGATGCCGTCTCCCTGCAACAAGAACTTTCTTACTCCGTGCTCAACATAAGCGGTGTGTTAGCGCGATACATTCAGGCAGGTGCGCCAACTTGTGTCGCATTTCATGCTCCCTGCTAATGCACGTATACGTTCATGGACGACCAACTCGGCCGACCAGCAACCCTCGCGCGCAGAATCGCCACACGTTTATGCAACAGGTTCTGGGTGAATGTGGTTGAAAGAACATTCGGTACATTCGCCCAGCTAACTTCAATAGGGAGTTCAGGACGCTGGCTCAGTGGGTTTAGTGCTAATGTATCCCGTATACGTGATACATATTCGAAACGTTGGCTTCGACACTGCATGATGGATCATGTTTTATGACGGTGGCTCACACCATCCTCGTTGGATTAGTCAAGAAGTTCCAAAATGAAACATCCATAAACAGAAGAAATTTGTTGATATAATACATTTTTTAATAATCCGCTGTATTCTTTCGTTTACCCGATTGCCTTTAGCGCGATAATCTACTTTTCCCTATCCACACTTCCCAGTTTTTTTTTTTTTAGTTTTCGTCATTGAGGCACGCTCCACAAACTTGCGTTTAACTTTTGTAGAGCCCCCTTATTTATGCTGTCTTGTCTGTCTGAGGGCACAGTCAATAACGATTCGACAGCCTTTTTTCCCCATTAATCCGCGCAATATTTCTTCGGACTGCAGTGCTTGCTCAGTATTGAGGGACTATTTTATTTAAGAGGCCCGCATACGAACACACGTACGCCAAGAGTGGCGTGCCGCATTCAGTGGCCCGAAAAATAATACCGAAGAATGCTCAAAGTTGATGTGATCGCAGCAAAACGTTGATTTCGGTACACAGTGTCACCTACCGTACAGCACTTCTAAAACTGGGGAGTATATATATGCGAACCGCACGCATGCTTGCCCCGCAGAACACTTATAAATATGCTGCAATAACTATAGCTACGCTGTAAGGAATTTTCACCCTCCCCATTGGCGCCGCCGAAGGTATACTTCCGACATGGAGTATACCAGAGGACATTTCCGGCCAGTTCTCGCTGTTCAGTTCCGCAGACGAGTGCTTTGTTCTTCCCGTCAGGATCGGGGCGGGACCATCGGCGAGTGCGGAGAGCTCCGAGGACGCCGCCGTCATCGTCGAGACTCGGCCCTGGAGGGACGACTTCGGTTTCCCCGTGCGACAGCCCTGGTGGAAAGGGTGAGCCGTAGATTCTCTCGCTCTCTCTTTTTATTTTAGTCAAAAGAAACTCTGCAGGCCAACAGTCGTAACAGTGGCGTACCTGAATATTATGTACGTTGGCGTTAGTTCAGCAATTAAGTGGTAGTTTATAATGAAGCAATGTTTTTTTTTTTTGTAATGAATGACCACTAAGAATTCAATCGTAATGCAGATAACTCGATTCTTTGAGCTGTCATACTCTGCTTTGTTATGAGTAATCAAGATGTTCTCCAGATGTATTATAATGAAGGAATGATGTTGTTTGACAAATGGCTGTTTAATGTGCATCGGCTGCATGCCGTTACCTTTGCTTCAAGGCCGACGAACGAGGTCATTCCAGGAGCCTACAGCAGGCAACTTTATAAGCGGATTTTTTGTTTCACTTTCATTTCCGTCATCATGTTAGAAGAGGAAATGATGCCTCAAGTTGAGCACGCGAACAGCAGTCAATGTTACTAATCTCAGACTTCTTGTGTAATCTGCCAGCATTGGTTCCGTAAAATTCTCTTGAAAACTGTTAAACATTTGAGGTCCTTCGCGGGACGCGACGTAAAACGATAACGTTGGCCCCAGCAGACGCCGTCCAAATTAGTGAAATCCATTGCGGCAACATGAATGTGGCGCCGCCACGTGCATTTTTTTTTTCTCGCTCGCCTTCCTTGTTGTGAGAGCGGTGCTTCAGCGTAATGTGAAAGGACGAGCGATCTGTGTTACTGCAACGCCGACTAAATTTCAAGGCCGAAAGGCTGCCGCAGTGACGTCAGAGGTTGGGGGCCCAGTTGCCCAACTGAGCATGCTCAGTAAGACTTTTTTTTTCCACATCTTTTATTCGGCCCAATCAAGCCGCAGCAGCTGCGAGAGCGGGAGCGTTGGTTCTCCTAAAACGTGAACGAAACACCGGTAACTGGGCCCCCACCCTCTGACGTCACTGCGGCAGCCTTTCGGCCTTGAAATTTAGTTGGCGCTGGTTACTGTGTCGGCAGCGATTAACTTAAGCGCCTTGAGCGGCGGAGGCATTAACCACATTTACATGAAATACGAGCCCTGGGATTGGCAAAAGGGCCTTTTGCGTGACATACAATTATTCTCCCAGAGATCAAGGCTAGTGCCTTCTAAAAAAATGGTAGATACCACGTACCTGAAAATCGACGTTATGCGGAGGGAAGGTGACCGTGTTGCAATTCTTTTTATTGAGCGACACGTGGTAAAATGACGCTAAATATACGAATAAATGTTGCACGCACAGGTATATGTTGAAGATCTGCAGATGTTTATATAACCAACTGTTTGGACTTGCGCAACGATGTCAACTGGAGCATGCGTGTTAGCAACACCAGAAGCTGATATGAAGCGCTCGTGCTCGCGAAGATGCTGGCCCTGAGCACTGCTACTTAAATCAACCTCAGACCATGGCACCTAACCACCATGGACGTTAACCCAACTTTACGGCTCTATCAAAGGAGTACATACGTAACGTTTATAAAATTTGGTAGGCAGTACTGCAACCACTATCGACGTTTCACGAAGATTAACGTCTATTTGAAAAGTAGTTCCGAGACCTGGCGGAGATCTGTGGTAAAATGATTCATTGCCCCGCAGAATGCTTAGGTTCGATTCCAGCTGCGACCCTGACATTTATTCTTTGCATTCGTCGGGTTGACGCTACCGATTTCGGTTATTTCTTAACGCTCGCACGTTAAAATTGCCCATGTGTGTTTTCGTCGTTCCTGGGTAGACAAGTGTCAATCACCTGTTGCAGATACCCGCATACCAGCGGCACATACCCGCCCGTGGATATGTGACACTGTCTGGCGGGAAGTGTTTCACGACGTACGCGCTGAGGTTGTGACATTATTCATCTCTTGACCAGCGCGTCATAATTGTCAAATCATCTTAGCCTTCCATGCTAATTTTGGTTCACGCAAAGTCAAAGGGGGGGGGGGGGGGGAATCGCGAAAGCATCCAGCCGTAAGCGGCTACATAGATGGATGGATGGATGGATCTATCTATCTATCTATCTATCTATCTATCTATCTATCTATCTATCTATCTATCTATCTATCTATCTATCTATCTATCTATCTATCTATCTATCTATCTATCTATCTATCTATCTATATATCTATCTATCTATCTATCTATCTATCTATCTATCTATCTATCTATCTATCTATCTATCTATCTATCTATCTATCTATATATCTATATATCTATATATCTATCTATCTATCTATCTATCTATCTATCTATCTATCTATCTATCGACACTGCATGATGAGACAGACGTGCCACAGAGCGTGCCCTGTCTATCTGTCTGTCTGTCTGTTTATATATCTGTCTGTCTGTCTGTCTGTCTGTCTGTCTGTCTGTCTGTCTGTCTGTCTGTCTGTCTGTTTATATATCTGTCTGTCTGTCTGTCTGTCTGTTTATATATCTGTCTGTCTGTCTGTCTGTCTGTCTGTTTATATGTCTGTCTGTCTGTCTGTCTGTCTGTCTGTCTGTCTGTCTGTCTGTCTGTTTATATGTCTGTCTGTCTGTCTGTTTATATATCTGTCTGTCTGTCTGTCTGTTTATATATCTGTCTGTCTGTTTATATATCTGTCTGTCTGTCTGTTTATATATCTGTCTGTCTGTCTGTCTGTTTATATATCTGTCTGTCTGTCTGTTTATATATCTGTCTGTCTGTCTGTCTGTCTGTTTATATATCTGTCTGTCTGTCTGTCTGTCTGTCTGTCTGTCTGTCTGTCTGTCTGTCTGTCTGTCTGTCTGTCTGTCTGTCTGTCTGTCTGTTTATATATCTGTCTGTCTGTCTATCCGCTTACGGCTGGGTGCTTTCGCGATCCCCCCCCCCCCCCCCCCCCTTGACTTTGCGTGAACCAAAATTAGCATGGAAGGCTAAGATGATTTGACAATTATGACGCGCTGGTCAAGACATGAATAATGTCACAACCCCAGCGCGTACGTCGTGAAACACTTCCCGCCAGACAGTGTCACATATCCAGATAGATAGATTCCTTAGCGAACGCCGCCGATGCCAAGCGCGGCATCGCGGGACCAAGAAATGCTCCACGTTTAAAAAAATTGGCAGATCAAAGCATTGGGGGAACTGCGAAGCACGAATGGGGAACGATATGACGCTTTAAAGTCAGCACAACGTTACGAGGTGGACGTAAATTATGCCGTACATGGCTTCCATGCCATGATTATCATGTTTGCATGCGTCATTTACCTTCGTCGTTTATTCACATCACGTGATACCAAATTTATTATCACGTGACGTGATATGTGGAGCTAGCGACACGGCCGTGAGCATGCTATGAGTGTAGCATGTCGTCATGCTTTACATTACACGCATGCCAGGACTATCATGTTTGGACATGTCATTTACGTTCGTCGTCTATTAGCGACATATGATACCAAATTTTGTATATGATGAGTTAGTTAAACGTCCGTGCGCTCGCTATGACTGTAGCTTGTAGTCATGTTTTACATGGCACGCATATCATGATTATGTGTGGACGTGTAATTTATCTTCGTCGTCTGTTCACGTCACTTGATACTAAATTTGGTGTATGAGAAGCTAGGGAAACGACCGCGAGCGCACCATGAGCGTGACGTGGAGTCGTGACTACTCACAACGTGAAAATGATGTCATTCATGTCACGATCTCCGTGTTAGGGTCTGTATGTTCGTAATGCAGTCATGTCATACCATACCAGTTCTCAAAATTTCATCTCAACGAAACCACCGCAAGAGCAGAAAGATTATGAAATGTAAATCATGGCATTCATGACACACATGTCATGATTTTTATGTTTTGACTAGACAGTTATGTTGGTCATGCAGTCAGATTATGCTGTACCAATTTTGGTATCGATACCAAGACGGCCAGGAGAGCTGAAAGTCGTAGCCGGGCCGACTAAACAGCTCGAGACTGCACAGCATGGTCTCGCGATGTTCGTTCACAAGCGTTCGTGAAGTCCGGTGGTCCTGAAGAAGCGCAAGAGAGATTGCGTGGCCTTGCGTGCATGCGGGACAGTCGGGCAAGGCCAAGGGAACGAGGTTGGCTTCCTTACCACGTCGTTCAGTGCGGTATATGATAAGCAGTGGCATGGAATGTGCTCAAGCGTCTCCTCACAGGCGCAATTGTTACATGCCGCTCTGATACCCATTCCAGTGAGACACGAATACGCATTCGTGAATGCCACGCCACATGCGACACAGCGAAGTTTAATGCGTCGTAAGAGCCCGGATGGCAAACGAAGTTGAAAATTTGAGTCGATCGAAAACTGCAGGCGCGCGTTAGAGAAACCCCTGCGTGTTCCATTGGGAAAGTGTGCGAGCAAGTGACTGCAGTCGCTTCGCGGCGCCCGTTCTCAGGAGTGGGATGCGCGTCCGCAGGTCTTGCTCGTGAGCCGATTGAGCTGCTTCGTCGGCGCGGTCATTGTCGAGAACCCAGCAATGACTTGGCAACCACTGAAATACAATATCATGTCCTTTCTGGAGTGCCTGGTGGCAGTCATGCCTTATGTCTTACACCGACTGTTCGTGTAATCCCTTCTGTAAAGTGAACCGCAGTGTTTGTAGATGCAATAGATGTCTTATTGATTACATGGCTGCTGAGGAATGTACTTGAGCGCATCTTGAAGTGCTCTGAGTTCCGCTGCTGTCGACTTGTCGATGACTGCGCACCAAGTCGTTGGTTTGTTGCTGTCAGTAAGAAGCGCGTCGTCGTCTTTTGCAGGCCAAATGTGTGCAACTTCCGGCAGGAAGTAGACGACTCCAAGGAAGAAAACTCCTCGATTCTGTTTAACTTCCAGTCCAAGCAGTGCCAGGACACCGAGGACTCCTTCGTCTGCACCACCAAGTGAGTGCCCCGTTTTGTTTTAGCTAAACGAGTTCCTTGTATTGCTTCATAGATTATAAGGCGAAACCTTTGTGCGACTCTTCAAGCATATTTGAAGATCGAAATGGTGCGCATGGCGTCGTTGTTGCACGATGTCACACGACATCGCTAAACGTCGACAAATGAGCTTCCGGGGCTTTCTCCCGTGAGTTCACATTTACGTAGAAGGGTTGATAGGCGGGCTAGTTGGTCACAGTGAAGTCACCGACAGGTTATCTGCGCAAGTACTTCAGCATGGCGGCCACCGGGAGCTCATTAGAGCGTGGCAGTGCAATTCTTCGGTCTACTCGTTTTTTTTTTTGTGCTCCCTCGCTTTATTCTATTGCCTCAAGGAGGAACACAAAGGGCGGTTTGGGTATACTGCTTGGGGCACTAATCTGACGGCCGTTTAACGCAGCCAGCCTCAACCAGCGGCGGCCATGGTGACGTCAGGGCAGTTGAAGGGATATTTTGTCGCACGGTAAAGGCACGCGTGCATGCTCCTCGGCGCGGACGTGCCACAGATCGTGCCTTGTCTCTCAATCAACGTTCTTCTTGTATGTCACGGCGTGCACAACGCACATCGAGGAACACGATTCTGACACGTGGCTGTGCAGCAGAAAACGCGCCTTGAACTTCGCTGCTGCTCGCTTCCACCACGGTGTTCAGCGGCACGTCGAGCGGGAAGGACTCAAGATTGTCCCCATTTCCGATTGGTTTGCCGCCAAGTATCGCAATCGTTGCGACTTGCCACACAAATTACGCCTATAAAATGGAACTGAATAATCGCATTCATGAAGTAATAGTCTCCTCACAAGTTGTTGAAGGCTCAAGGAAAACCGACACAATCTTGACGCACCCCGAGAGGGGCATTTTCCGGTTTGCATGGCTTTCCACACGCTGGGGCCCGACAACGGGTATAAAATATTCTACTTTGATTCTAAAGTTTCCGTCGACCAGCATCTGCAAGCCACCCCCACCGCAGTGGACATTGTTATCCCATGGCGACACCGGTCACTAGACTTGCGGATTGTCTGTGTCCTACGTACAGCGTAAATCGCACAAATCGTATTCGGTGTCAATTCATTTATCGCATGCGACTGAAAGTGAACTGACCGCTATTCGTTTACATTTCCCGTGACGTCAGGCTCGTGTTGAAACGTCACTGCGAAGCCACCCTCTCGAAATCGATGTTGTTGTTTTAAAGTAGTGGTGTTAAAAATATAATAAAGGCATTCATCAAGCACCAAAAGCCGTGTTTTTTTTTTATTAGAGCAACGATACTGGCCTCTCACGCTACAGATCTACTTTCCCTTTTCGGTCAGATTTTATGGCGCAGCTGTGAACCGCCAGTTTCCTTCGGATCGCTGCGTGTGTAGAGAATGGCGGCTGCATTTGGGGCTGTATAACGGCTGCAGCGTAAGCCCTTTGCAGGACTTAGTCTACATCAAAAGAAAACTCTGGTTTTGCGAAAATCTTATGTCGAACGTGCGTTTCGCGTGTTGCTGTTTAGCCTCTAAACTCACATGCATGTGGTGCACTCGGTTACAGCCGAAGGAAAAGCCATGGCTGCCCAATGGAGATTTTTCATTTTCTTGACGTAAAGCACTTCTCTGTTGAATTAGTTTTTTTTTCTATCAGGACCAAATTTTGTATAGCTGGTTTTAGGGCAGAAACTAGAAAGGGTCTGGGTTAATTTCTTCGGGGATTCAGACATCGCCGCTGAGCCAGATATTTTGTTGGAGGTATAAACTATAGGCACGCACACGGGAGAGGGGAGCAAGGTCGGCCCCACAAGCGCCAACTTTTAACAATAATGGAAACACTGCCTCTTTGTTTCACCTATAAAGGGAGGGCTTAATGCTCTCCCGTAGTCGAGTACAAAGTACTCTAAATCGTCAAAATATTTTTCTAAACATAATGTACTGAAAGTCTGATCATTGAATATATTACGTGAAAAAGGCGGACACTCAGACGTGCGCAAATGCGGTGGCATAAATAAGTGACATTTTTTTCTGTATAATCGTAAAGATGGTGCACTGACACATTATTAGCCTTGTGCATTGTACTATCAACTGCGTAGTGTCAGCTTTGTGCATGCGAACAACCACGCGTGCAGCAATGCGCGAATCCTTCCTTCTTGACGAGACTGCTGTTGAGGCACCGTCGCGTCTGCCCACACGAAAAGTGGGAGCGGCAACGTCCTTGCATTGCACGTTGCGTCTGTCACAGCGGCGTGATTTGCGAGCAGGTGGCTTGCTGAGCCTGCAATAGTTCTCCCAGCTTTTCAGTGCCTTAAAAACAATGCTAATGTTTTATCGAGCGCCCACTTTATGTTCTGGAAAATCGTGTGTGGGTAGGGCGTGGTCGCACACTTCTTCCGAACATTTATAGCGGTCATGCTATTCTGTTGGCGACCTGCAGGCATTTTGAGCAGAGATTCTGCGACCGTGGTAGCCTCCTTGTGCGAGTCGAGCCTATTGGCAGTAGCCTTCACTGCGAGCGCCTATGGTAGTAAAAACAAGCCTTTTTATTGCTGATGTGCTTACACTAGCGGAGAAAAAGTGCTCTGGCGGAAACAAGCTGGCACGGCTGTCTTTCTCCGAAAAGGACAGAGCTCCATTTTGTTTTCGTAGGCGAGAATCAATTCTGAAGCCAACCGAAAGGTTTCTGTTTTCTCCAGTTTTCTATACCCCAACCAGGCGGACTGCTACCGAATGTTCGCGTTTGATTTACTATTCGCACAGGAGGTTTTGCGCATGCCAGCTTTGTTGCTCAACCACCTGCGTTGTCTCGAGGTATTCTTTTTGTTTTTAATGCCATTAAGTAAGCGAGCACGCTTGTCAGAAGTAATTGGGAAAGTAGTGAGCAAATTTCTTGAATTAGGCCGCCTGAAAACGTCTAACTTGCCAACCAGTAGAACTTCAGAGAAAGGCTTGAAAGATGAACAATACCATTGATGCATTGTCGAGGCAGTGTCGCTGGAACCTCTTCGTCGTGTCAGAAAGTGGCTGGCCGAGACCGTCTTTTTCGGGATAGTGCAACTCCCGTCTTATTCGTTTCTGCAGGATTCGAACCATGAACACGAGCAAGACCATAACGGACAAGTACGTGTGCTGCCACGGCTTCGCTCGGGGACGAGCTGGATGCGTCCAAGGTGCGTTTTTTGCGACTTCCTTATACGCGCGCGCATCGACGATGATCGTCGCATCATGTACGCCCGGCCAACTTTTCCCGACGAAGGCTTCACCTTTCGTTATTTTATGTGGCCGCTGGGAGCATATCGCGGAAAAAAAGGTGTGACTGCTGAACAGACCGTTGCAGCCGCCATGGTCTTTTTTACAGCGGGGCAGAATTGAGCTTTGCGTTTAGTGACGCTGGAAAACTATCGTCATCGTGAACCAGTTCGCGCTCTTCTTCGCTCCCAGAACACGAGTGCCTATTGTGAGGCGTGGGATGCAATAAGCAAGAGAAAGAGTGTAGAGAGACAGAGTGAAAATATGGACAGTTAGAAATAGACTGCACGAGAATAGCATAGCCATGTACGAGAGCGTACGCTCTAATCGGGAAAGTGAGGATGACAAGGAGGAGCTTCCGCGCTTCTTCACGCCATCGACCACCCGAAGCAGCGACGGTGAGAAGGAGGGAAGAATGATGACTTATAGGAAGAAATCGGCAACGTCGTCACGCAGCTAATCGGTAGCGCTCAGGTGATTGTGTGCCGAGTGGCGTAATTCGTGGCTACTGCAACCCATTTATTTCCAGTTGCTCAGGTTAAAAAAGTACACACCAAGCGAGTCTAATCCCACTCGATGAAGTGGCTCAGCTGGAACTTCAATAGGCTGGAGGCCACTGGCAGGGGGAGTCGTAGGTTTCTTTGGGCGTTGGCAGATGTTGAAAGCCGTAACGGACAACGAAACGATAAAGGCCCTTCCGGAAAAACCGTTGTCCAATTGGGTCGTAGGTTCGGGTCGCACATAAATGCCCAGAAGCTAGGCTGCCGTGAAGCTCTTGAAAGACATTTTTGCGCAGATAATGGCTTCCAAATCAAGCCGTCTTCTCCACCGAGCCGAGCGTAAACACACCGAAGCAGCAGCCAACACCGGGCCACAAAGAATGGGGCGATGTGACGTTGACACGACCGGTTCATATACAATGGTGTGAACCAATGCTTGTTACATACTTTTGATCCATGCACTTTTAGACTTTGCTGATTTGCGAAAGGCAGCACACGATCTTACCACCCGCATGACTACCAAAATCTTCCGTTAGTCCCGTGAAGTGCGCTTTGCGGTGAAGAGGGTTTACGGGCTGGCGTCGAAGGACGCGGAGAGTGCAATTTCTTTTTTTCCCCTCGCTTAAAAGAATTTTTTTTATTAGACTTGAACAATTGAACCTCCCTTGTATACCCTTTTAAAAACGTGTTAAGCGAGTGTTTTCACTTGGACTGTGTCTGCATGCGTCCGAACGTGAGTTATTTCAAACTCTTCGGTGTCTGCAACCCCCCTTTTCGACACTACTCACTCGTCGATCTAATTATTTTTTTTCACACGGTTACTGCCCCCTGTTCAGCCAGGTGATTTAGTTCGCTTTGCAAGCTTTGTAAAATTTAAATTAACATTGACAAAATCAATCGCCTAATTGTTTGACTACAACTGACATTGTGAGACAAACAGGTGCCACCAGAAAGACATATGAAAGCAACATTCCTTTCTGTAGCAACCAGCCAAGGTCTGAGATGCTGCGTATAGTGCCATATATTTTAGTGCGTTTTCTAGGAACGTCACCCGCCATGACAGATTCATATCACTGTAAAAGGCTTTTTCTTGCCGCAACACTTTCTCGAAACAGTGCACTAAAATGATTGCCCATAATTTTCGAAACAGGATCTTGAAAAAACTAGGGCAGAGGGGTATACTGTTACTATTCTAAATTCCGTATATGTGTGTCGTTATTTTACTGCAGTGTTCAGCATCTCCAGATGGCGTATCTATTGGACTCAGTTTTTGACTATATATATATATATACATGCGATGGACTTTCGATCCTCGTAGCCATATCCAACCTCTAGTATGTTGGTGCGCATGTGGTCAGTGGCGCTGCCACTTCTCAGGAGTTCATGCGTGCTTGCGACCGCTTCAGCGACTGTAGTCCCCAGGTTTCAGCGAGTTAAATTTTAAATGCGAATGCCTTTCTTAGTCGAGCAATGTCAGGCTCTGGAGACTGCCGTGCGCCGGTAGCAACAGCTGCGGGCGTGCGTGCTCGCCCCTAGCAAGCGGAGCATGTGGTGCGAGAGAAGGTAGCTGCAGTGCTTCGCCGCTCCTTCTTTCGCCGTTCGCTCTCCTCTCTGTCCCCACTCTCCCGTCCGCTCGCGCCTCACTCTCAACTGTTCGCTGGCTGGGCGCCTCTCAAGAACATCCGGAAATGTGTGCTCGAGGCGCCGCTGTGAAACGCTAACGCAGAACCGAGCACGCTGGCGCCCCTCTCTCCCGTCCTCTCGCTCCTCACTCTCGACCGTTCGCTGGCTGGGCCCCCATAGAATAAAGAATCAATTTAGAGGAGGGAAACTGTAGTCTTGACAACAGTACGCAGGATAAGCAGTGGTGGCGCATGAAACTGCCTAGGGCGACCAAAAGATAGCGCTGAGTAAAAGGAAGCGGAAAACAAATGTTAGTCAAGAAAAAAATGGCCGATTTTTTTTCCCGTACCGGATGCGTATGCGCCTACGTGGTGTCCTCGGCTGATTCTTTATTCTATAGCTTTCGTTTTACGATAACAAGGCGGGTGTCGTTATCTTTCGTCCGCTTGATTTGAGCGCGTTGATACGCCCAGCACCACACCAAAGCGCCCTTCTGAACACAGTACCTGTGCGTACAACGGTTACATGGAACCGAAGGGCATTCATTGGCAGCTGGTACCTGGTAAAAACAATTCACAAATGAGTACGGGGAACATTTATTGACAGCAAACCAGCAATCACGTTTCAATGCAAAAAAAAAAAGCATCGTGTTGGAAGCATTATCGCAAGTTCGCAAATGGCACGCCTTCGTTTCCAGGGGCAAAACGAACAGAAAAGTGTGTCTCGTTAGTAGGAACTATCATTACAAAACAGGGGTGAAATCACCATGAGGTGCTAGAGTTACAGCTCCTGCTTTAGTCGAGCACGGCTTCAACACCCACACTTTTTATTTCATTACGACATAGTGCGGTTAATTTGAGGACCCAAGTAGGCTCGGTTTTTCTCAAGTTAATCACGACGGAGCGAGAGTCGAGAGAAACGCAAGAATTCGAACGCACGAAGGATCATTGCAAATGAATCATATCAATGCAAGTGCACAAATTTCTTTGTGCACTTGCATTGCAAGTGCACAAAGACATGACACTGACAGCGATAACACGGTCCGAGAGTTAAATCGCCAACAAAAAACAACAAATATGCGCGCATTGGCCAAAATATTCTACCTGTCATGGCTTCACCGGTACGACAGTTCCTGCGGCACCATACAGCCGTACAGCGACTATGCCTACAGCAACTGCAGTGACTTACCGAGGCGAATGAAAACGTGCTAGAAAGAAAACGGAACGCCGAAGACCATGCCAACCATCAGATGAAAACTAACTGCGCATATGCGCTTTGGGTGCATTCGTCGAACAGCGGCAGGCCAGCAGTGCATGTTTTCCGCTTCGTCACCGTCACTGGTAAGGGAATCCATAGAACTCGCATGGCACGGCGATTGGTAAACAAATTTAGTGCTCAGAAGCACTACGCACAATCACATAGAAAAGAACACTTTTTTGAAAAATGGTGCCTGTTATCGCTTTAAGTTTTGCATAGAGTTTCCCACAATACTAACTAGAGGGAACTCTGGCGCTAGTGTCTATGGGAGCTGCAACGCACAGCACTTCAAGGAGCATGGGAATAATGGGTAGTACACACATTTGTCTAATTTTCGTACTTCTGGTCTGCTTCTGGCTCCGTGTGTGTTCGTGTGGCTTGGAGCTGTTTTTTCACGAAAACATAAATTAGCAATGTTCACCGTTTGTGCTTCACAACCTTATTCTTTTAAGCTTACTATTTCAAATCAAGTCCCTAAGTTCAAAGGGGTTTGTTCTTTCTTTCAAAACAAAACTGAAACAGAGCAATAAACAAAGCCGCAAGTACGATTCGCCGCCCGCAAGTACGAAGACTAGGCAAATGGGTGTGCTACCCATCATTCCCATGGTCGCTGAATGATCGCAGCGCCAGAGTTCCCTCTAAGTAATTTTGAGAAACTATGAAGTTTTGAGCTTACTATGGTGCCCCTAGCGGATTGTTTTGGCGTCCCCGAGGGCAGATTTGAACGGAGCCGCTATGGTTCTTCTTTAGCTGTCGATTATTTCGCCCCACAGCGGCGATGGGCGGAACTTTGTACTTTCCGAGGCCTGGCGCCCCTCTCAATGCGTTGGCAGAAGTCGGTGAAGGCAAATGTACGACGGCAATGGTGCCCTCTCTCGGCGCAAGAAATGCATTCGCATTTCCTCACGATTCCTTTCGGGGATGTGGGGGCATTTTTATTGTACATGCATTCGTGCAATTCTAGGTGTGCACGACCTGCGAGGAGTATACATGAAGTTGGCGCCTTGCAATGCAGCCGTTCTTGTGAAGCCCTATACAAGCTCATTCGGTGGTGAGGGAGAGTATTTGTCACTGAGAGGGGGCTGTTGCGAGTTATACTCGTACAGCAGGGATTCCTCGCCATTGGCCAGTAAAACCGCGGTCAACTGGCGATGCTGTGGACTGGCGCGATCACCAAGCGATGCTCGGCAACTTTTCCTCACTGTGCATCAATCGATATTCAAGGCCTTTGCTTCGCCGAACTTGTTTTTTGTATAGCAATGCCAAAATCAGTCACCTCACTAGGCCTCCTGCAATTTACTGTGTACGTCTATGCATGACGAATCGTTCATTAACCACGATTTTTTTTATTAACCTGCTTACTTCAGAGCAGCTCAGCTGATACTGTTAAACCTCAATAAAAATAGGTCTGTAAACATCGCTTCCTTATATCTGAACTTCTCTAAATTGAAATCGTGACCTTTTGTGCAAAGTATAGGCGTTCTTGCAGCGGTGGTGCATCGTTATATGCAGTGAACCTCAAGGACCTAGTGACGACGATGAAGGACCTTGGCGCCTCCAAGTTCGTCGACCTCGTTGAGGAGTCCAAGATGACCGACGAGCTGAACAAGGGTAACGTCACCGTCTTCGTGCCCACCAACATCGCCGTCAAGGACTTCGAACACACTGTAAGCCACGCAAGACTCGCACCATGTGCGCGACACAGTGAGACCGTGCCCTGTGGTCTTGCGCGCTAAGTGTCTAGCTTGCCACTCATGCTTTTGCGCCTATTGTCACGCGGATAAAATATTCGCGTGTTCAACAGACTTTAAAAAAGCATACTTAAATACAATAATACTCGTGCCATCAAGGAAGAAAAATTGAGGACAGAATAGAAAGTACGTCGCTAACGCCATTACACCAGCGACTTACGTAACCGTAGCAAACATGCGAGTAAAAAACACGTGATAAGATTAACAAAGGTAGACAAAAAGTCACTAAACTAAAAAAAAACAGATTTGATGAAGAAATTAAATTTGCCACCATGCGGAGCAACATATGTATCACTAAAACACGTACCTCTCTTCTTACGGATACACAGGAAAACCCAGGCTAACACTTGCAGGAACCAGTCTGCATTGGCAAATGTGCCTCAAGTTTTTGAGGCAGTTCATGCTCCGCAATTCTGTCGTTTGCGCAGCGGCCTGTTTGGCCGATGTAAACCCTTCCGCAACTAAGCGGAATCTCGTACACCACGTCAACCGAGCAGACGGCCTTGCGTGTGCCGCTTCCCACACGGGGAGGGCGTCGGTGCATCAGAAGTTTGTGGGCACTGGCTAGCCAGCTTGCGGAGCGCCGAGAACGCCAAAGGTACCCTGTACCGGTTGGCCACGTTCGTAATGATGTGAGCAACCTTGTGCACGTATGGCATAACCGTATAGGCCTTTTTTCCATCGGCTGCCTGTTTTTTCCTTCAGTTTTTGAAGGACGGTTTTTTGACACTCCTTCAGAACCAAGGTTGCCATCTTAGCTGATTGTTGAACATTTCCTGCGATTATTGAATATTTCTTTAATGATGAACCAACTCGCTTGGGCCAAGCAGCAGTTTTCAACACGCGAAGCTTTGTGGAGGCGAACATTGTTGTTGTCCAGCTCACGCAAGGGGGCTGCGCGGTCACCGAACGACGCTTACGTCCATACTATAGGCTGGCAAACTCGCTTTTGAGTCGCTTCAATGGAATTCGCTCAGATGAAGCCGTCAGTTAACCGTGGTGAGTTCAGTGACTTTCAGTCTGAGCGAGTTCGGTTGAGCGAAACTTTAGCGAGTCCGAGTGAGGATGAATGAGTCGCTCTTTGCCGACTTCTGCTGCCCAAGATGGAGCGCCACTGCACTGCTCGCGGGTGCGGGCGGACCACCTTGCCACGAAGTCGAGGATACTAGTCGTGCGTTGCAGTATGAACATCCTGGAATAATGCTGGCCTCGGACGACTTTCGTTTAAAGCCTGACAGCCCTCGTCCGGCGTGTGATGCGAGTCTTGGATGATTCCCTTTCAGAACGAGGTGTCCAGCCCCCACGATGGCAGAGCCGCCGTTCGAGCTCACACCGTGGCTGGTCCGTTGCGCACTGGAGACATGGTGGACGAGATGGTTCTGCAGACCGTCGACGGCCGCTCCAGCATTCGCATCAATGAGTTCTACAACCCGTCCAAGGTGCGAGCACCCCTTTGGAGGACCTTTAAGTTCAAACCTCTTTAGGGGGTCGTATACTTTGCTTCTAGGCGGGATGCTTCATGTGGAATATTCGGCTCGCACGCATTCTGGGGCATTGGTCGAAAATTGGGTAGCTTACACAAAATATGTATATATTTATATCCTAGCGAGGCAAATTTCTCATGTGCAGCATATGGAGCGCGTGCTCGCGCTAAGCCTCTCAGGCGCCCCGATGATGGTCATTAGTAAAGAGACTGGTGTGCTTCGCGTAACAAAACTAGGTATCGAAATAGAAAAAGACATGGTGATATAAAAACGCACAGAAAGGGGGACAATAGGAAGAATAATGAAAGAGCAATAAATAGCGAGGTAAAAGTGAATTGGAAGAAAAGGATAACAAAAATTGGCAAAAAAAATAGAGAAGGATAGAAATACAAGTAACTAAAAGATTTTTATAACTGAATCAGCGTGGTCTTAATATCAATTATCTAAACTTGCATCATAAATATATTCTGACCATTCTCTAATGCATTTAAAAAAATACATATATGACTTGTATCTATATATTATTTGTTTCATGGCACTTCCCATGGAGTGAGTGTGAGCCATTCATATAGGTCTTCATAATAATTTAAACTGAAGAGAAACAAGAAAGTGCCCAGCTTCGCTCTTCCTACAGGCTTGGCACCCCTAGCGTGAAGCCACCTTTTTTTTTTCGCCTATAGCACGTTAACCGGCACCAGACTACTTTGATCGTCATCGATAACATCGCAACATGAAAGATGCGTCTGGATAGCAGTCAAGCCAGAGGGCACAGGTTCGATTCCTGCCGACGCCAGTCGTAAAAACGAAATGCAATAATACCTGTATGTGGAACCCCAAAAATCACTTTAATCGCCCGTTGTCCGAGTGACCCAGTAACTGCTGGTTGAATCATTGTCATCGACTGTAAATACATACACTTACGTGCTTTACAAACCACTTCGCTCACTTCAAGCGATTTAAAGCAAGCAATGCATCCTTTTACCCAATAATAATAGAAACAAAATGTAGGTGTATAGGTCGTTATGCTTGCTTCAAAATTCTTTGTATTTGCGTAAGATCTGCTGTTTTACCTAAAGCACCCTTTAGGAGCGAAGGGTGCTATGCCTTATTGGAACATCTGTAACCTTTTTGACTCAGTGCCAGCTGATAGTTCTGTCTCTCTGTCTGTCTGTCCTTTTTTAATGCGTGTAAAAACTGAAGTAAAAACTGACTGGTAATATAAATGCGAGAGCCTCAAGCAAAACCGATACTTGTAATTTCAATTGATAGCCCCGAGAAAAACTGACACTGGTAATTAGAATGCGAGAACTCCGAGAAAGACTGACACTGGTAATTTAAATGCGAGAGCCTCACGACAGACTGACACCATTAATTTAAAAGTGATAGCCTCGAGAAAGATTGACACTGGTATATTAATTGCGAGAGCCTCGAGAAAAGCTGACACTGGTATAATAATTGCTCGTGATATAATAATCATGAGCGTAGCACATAGTCATGTTGTTACATCACACGCATGTCGTGATTATCATGTCTGGATGTGTCATCAAGTCTGGATGTGTCGCGTCGCGTAATACCGAGTTTGGTACATGTGAAGCTAGCGAAACGGCCGCGAGAGCGTCATAAGCGTAGCGTGTAGTCATGTTGCTACATGACACGCATCTCATGTTTATCATGTTTGCACCAGTATCATACTTTCGTCATCCATTCACGTCCCGTAATACCAAAGTTGGTATAAGTGAAGCAAGCATAAAGGCCGCGAGCGCATTATGAGCGTGGCATGTAGTCATGTTGTTACATCACACGCATGTCATGATTTTCATGTTAGGGTTCGTCGCTTGTGTTTGCCATGCCTTCATGCCATACCATACCAGTTTTGCAACATGCCATGTGAACGAGACCACCGCAAGAGCTGCAGGACCATGAAATATAAATCATGACATTCATGACATACACGTCGTGATTTTCATGTTATGACTAGTCAAATATGTTCTTCAGACAGTCAAGTGATCCCATACCAAGTTTGGTATCGATACTATTATCGAAACGGCCAGGAGAGTTAAAAGTCGTAGGCGGCTAAATAGATGAATAGATAGACGGATAGATACGCTCAAAGCCGCCGAAGTTCGCTAAAGAATGCTCCACATTTAAAAACTGACAATATTTTTTAAATACGAGAACCTTAAGAAAAAGCTAGGTTTGCCACAAAGGCGAAGCAATGAATGTGATAGCAACAAATCGGAATGTCACGTGAAGAAAGGCAAGCAGATTGAAACGTGCCCCGCGTTGCTCACGCGAAAAGGTGTCTCAGTTTTTACTTCGCTGTGTCTGAAAAGTGCGCCTTTTTCGAAAACGGAGACTAACCATACAACAGAATTGTTTCGGTGAAAGTCCAAGGCGCATCATTTTCCCCACCGCGAAATAAACGCGAGCATGCGTGGGCTTCCACCCTCTCCCCTATGCGCTGGGCAAATTACAAGTTGGAGATGAAAGCGCGCGCCGCCGCGTCGCCACGATCTGGCGACGCGCGCTCATCGCGCCATCTCTCTTGTGATGCTGAAAACGCGATAGTTCTCCCGAGATGGGCATCGCCAGCGGTAAATGGTAGATATTTTCTTGCCGTTTGAACGTCGAATGAGGTGCTCCTTTGCATCTCGGTGTAACGCCTCTCACTCACAAGCAAGAGCTCGGGCGTTCGATTCCGCGCGCCGGAGTTGGATAATTCGATAGCAGGTGCGGATGGACAGACAACCGATTGACGTTTTACCGATAAAACCCCCCGACGCTTCGCCCCACTCATCATCATTCACCCCATGGATATGCTGTGATTTTTTCTTTCTCTCGTTTTCATATATATAGATACGTATACATATATGGTGAATGACGCGGACGCCGATGCTGGCGGCAAAATCCAGCCGAGAGTGTCCATATAATTGCTATCGCAATAAAACTGACATCGTCAGCGTTGAACTGATGAATGCAGGGAATCATTGTTATGGTCTCAGTAGAAATCCAAGCCAAGCATTCTGCGTGGCAATCAAGTATATCACCACATAGCCACGCCAGGTATATGAACTGTTTTAGAAATAGAGCCTATGCAGTTGTAATGTTTGTGAAACGTCAATTGTGCTTGCAGTGCTGGCTGTACAATTTCATAAACATTACATATATCCTCCTATGATACAGCTGTCAAGGCGGGTCGACATATATTGTAGTTAAGGACCATCCACTGAAGTTATTTAGCGGTGTTGAGGTCTACCATCCTCTCGATATCTGCCTACAGCTTCTAGTGTTGCTAATACCCATGTAGTTGTAAGCAACTGGTTATTTACAAACAGTTGTTTCGTCTGCTTAATGTGTGTTTGTCCGCGCATTTAATGGCGCTTCGTATTGCCGTGCACAATAAAACAACTACAGCCTCCCATCCGCACGCTTTGCATAGCATCGATTCCCAAGGTATCTGCTGAACTTTTTTTTTTTCAAATTTGTTTAATGTGCGAATCTCCACCAGAATTGAACGGCGTATGATGATATCATCGTTATACGCGCCAGATGGTCTGTGTATGACTGTATTGTGCTTTCATGTGGTGCGTTATGATACGTTTGCTTGTATGGTTGGACACACATGTATGCCTTCTATGGTGATGTAATTCCTGACTGCCATATTCCTTTTTTTTCTGTTTAGAAACCCCCCTTTTTGTCTTGGTTCGCGAAAATGCCCCTTTCTAAGAGTGTAAGGCTTATAGGCACGGGAAAGCTCTATATAATCATTGATAGAATGGATCGAGTCAACAACGCTGTCTTTTCTCGGCGTGTGTGTGCAGCTGATGACCGCCAACTGCGTGCCCATCGTGTCCGCCAACAACCCAGCGACCAGTGGCGTGGTGCACGTAGTGGACGAGACCCTTCCATCGCCCAACCGCACCCTGTACGAGATCGTGTCCGAAGACCCTCGCTTCAGCACGCTGCGCTCGCTCCTCTCCGTGGGCGACCTCGAGGAGACCCTGAAGGACCCCCAGGGACACTTGACCCTGTTGGCGCCCAGCGACGAGGCCTTCGCCAAGGTGCACAAAGACACGCTGGCCAAGTGGAAGAGTGGCGACGCCTGCATCGCCAGTGAGTATTGTCTCGTCCTCAACCGCGGCGGGCAGCCGCCACCGTGATTTCTGTCTGCACCACTCGCACGAACTCCGAGCGTGAGCGAAGCTGCAAAGCATCATTTGTCTCTCCCTCCGCGCCCCTCCCGCTTAAGCACCAACCAGTATAACAACTCTTTTCACTGGAAGAAGAAATAAGAAGAAATAAAACACAGAATTAAGTTTATTATTTGGCAAATAAAACTCATAAAAATTACACCATTTCTCGCTAAAGGGAACCATGGGTAGATAGATGGGAAGCAGCGGGCGCTATTGCTTACACTGGCGGCGGCGTTGCCCAGGAAACCTGGGCAGGCTGAAAGCACGGCGTGACGGACAGACGTGTTTCGTACTGGAACATGCCAATCGCGGATAATTGACTATGAGAGACTTCGATTTCACAGAGAGACCCGCAGTCCACTTTTAGTACGAGCACGCCGCGAGTTTGTATTGTTCAACAACGCACATATAACTCTCCCACTAGCACTGCATTGGAGGCGCGGTGTAAGATTCAAAGTGTTTGTACCCGACACCGTGCCCCGGGCGCACACCTCTGCACGGCCGGAGACGCACACTCCACGCGCAGCGGAATAGCCTCGGGTTCTGCATCGTCGACACGCGTTTCTCGAGTATATCTAACAAGAGTTGTTAAGCTCGTGCTTTTTTTCGCGCGTCTTCCATTTGGTGTGTGGGATGCCGTGTCGATAGGACGTATCCCAGCATAACGACGTGGTAGCAGCAGCGGGGCGAGCGTGCCAACGGTGCGCTCGAAAAGACAAGTGATAAAACCGAGCTTGGCTTTTATCGCCACCAGTGGTGACGCAAGCCTCCGGTGAAGCTGCGATGGTGCTGTCGGAAGCGAGTTGCAGCAAGTGGCCGTGTCACGCCCGGCTAACCAGTGACGGAGGCTGCGCAGGTTTGCGCGCAGTGGTCACCACAGGTGCAACTATCGAGCTGCTCTTCATTCTTTGTGCATTGAATTTTTCGCTATTGCATTTTCCCGCCGGGGTGGTCTAGTGGCTAAGGCGGGCCCCGGAAACTCGGTGCTAGTTTCGGTTTCAAAGAACATGCACGCTCGTAGCGGTTGCCGGGAATCCTAAGATCTTCTTGAATGGAGTGAGGTGGATGTGAATGTTCGTATTTTTTTTTTTGCTTTCACAAGTTTCTGCAAATTAAAAAATCAAAACACCTTTAAAGATCTCTTTTGTTTATATGTCTTTTTATCATTTCTTGTTTTGTGAATTTTAAATCAGGCGAAGCGCGGAAGGAGACTGGCTGGCGTTCCTAGCGCTTGCCTCCGCTCCTTCTCGCTCAGCAATATTAAAGGTTGGGTCGCGCTCGGTTATCTCGCTCTGTGGGCGCGTCAACTACGGGAGAGATAGACAGCAGATTGTGGCGGGCAGGGAAGCCACAGTAAGCTACGCCGAACAAGTCAACCATGCATTCGTCGAAGACGGCTTAATCGAGCAGCACATGTTTTGCGCAGCACTGCGGTGTGCTAACTAGGGAATTTCTACTTCCGCGAAGGTTTTTCAGCATTTCCTACAGGCACCTGGTGAACACCTCAACTTCGGGTGAGCACAAGAATAAGAGCAGGTATTGATTTTGCATGAGTAAATACGAGTAAACTCGGTTCTCGGCAAGCCTATCTCGACTGACAAAAGTACAGTGTCGCTTGACTAATTGGTGAAGACAGCAGCCTAGCTTTTGTCGGGAAAATGCGTTTATTGAAATGCTTAAATTTGAGTAGGCTTGGCTAGATAGTTTTACTTTCGTTTACTTTCGGCGTGTAGTTCAATTGATGTCATGTAATTATAGGCTGCTTCCTACTCGTGAAATTCTTGTAGCCGCGTTCAGAAAATTTGTCAGACTTTACTTACAATAGTGTCTCTCAAGTGTACGTGATGGACTAAATGCTTCTAAAGATTATTATAGAGAATGTCGATGAAGCCAACGTTTTGACAAGTGAACTTTCCTTCGGCAACGCTGTTCTCTGACGAAGACAAGTGAACTTGCCGAAACACTGTTTCCAGCGACGTTCCTTCTCGAAGAACGTCTGATCGCTTCGTGCCTTTGAACTTCAGTCTCATTTGGTAATCGAGTTATGTAAGAAAGCTATATACGCACGCAGTCGTAACAGATGTGATCCAGTCAAATACGACGTGTCTTACTTGCTATTGATAATTTTGGCATTGCCTCGGATATTCTGTGTTCAACGCTTGCTCATTAAATACATATGTCAATTGTGAATTAAAGCTGCGTTCATAAATTCACATTCATCCTACGTGTATCTGTTTTTTAAATACAAAACGTGCAATAAGGAGTTCATTTTATTTGTGCCGGTCGAGTTTATTCTTACGAAGAATCGGTAAGCTCAACGTTCCCGTCTTTAGAAAACACGAACAAAACAAAGAACAAAGAAAAATAAAATCATCGAAATTTCATGAATGGCCCAAGCGGACCTGAAAGAAGGCACGAGCAAATTCCGCTTGCATGCGAAGTGAGAAATGTGGGCTTCAGCGGCAACGATCCTCCTCTCGATTTTTCGTTCCTTTCCCTATACTTGGCGACCTCTTCAGTGACGCCACGATTTATTTTTAGTAGGATGCCCGTCAACCGCTAGTGGTGCATGCGGCGCTCCCACTGCCAAGAACGAATACATGGGAGGTGTAGGGAGTTTCCGCCCCTGGCTGACGTATTCGGCCGCTGTTCGAATCCCGGCTGTGGCGGCTGCATTTCCGATGGAGGCGGAAATGTTGTAGGCCCGTGTACTGAGATTTGGGTGCACGTTAAAGAACCCCAGGTGGTTGAAATTTCCGGAGCCCTCCACTACGGCGTCTCTCATAATCGTATGGTGGTTTTGGGACGTTAAACTGCACATACAAATCTACCATTGCTTCGCCCTTGCGACGAAACTGAGTTTGTTGCTTAAGACCCCTGGCACTTGCTGCTTGTACTTTCGTGATTTGCTTATCATGCCGATTTCGTCAGTGAACCAACTCCCTAAACCGTCTACGATAATTTTTTAACATTTCAAGTACACGTGCACATCGTATTCAAAATGCCGTCGCGATCAACGATTCCGAACATGGGAGTGCTGCGAGCCACGGCCGGCTCGCAAGTTTCGAGAAACCGTCCTGGCCATCTCCTCTCTGCTTCTTTCGGTAGTGTTCGTGCCTCGTGTGTTGGCCATAACTTGATCGTGCATTTCATCTACAGGCCTCTTTGTCCGCTCGCTGACTCGGACAGGAGCAGAGACAATGAAGGAAAGAGCGAGGTTCTCATTTGTATCATCAAACGCTCCGCTATTTCGGCACCGTTTCGAAAAACTCTCACGGCTACGCGTTTGTTTTAGAGCCGCGCACCGTACTAAATTTCGAGCTCGCTTAGGGGTATTTTTATCACTATACGCAGAGCTTCTTCGGGGCCACTTGCTGAGCCACGTGATCTGCACCACCGCCGTGCCCGGGTCGGCGCGGGTGCGCAGCGTCAATGGCGACGCGGTGACGCTGAGCCGTGATGGCGACCGGCTGCTGGCCGATGGCAGCCCCGTGTCAGTGCGCGACCTGATGGCCACCAACGGGGTGCTGCACGTGCTCGACCACATTCTCATGTCACAGGAGAGCAAGCCGCTCATGCAGACGCTGCGAGACGCCAAGATGAACGACCTGGTGCACTTAATCGAGACGGCCAACCTGACCGAGTCGTTCGAGGCGCTCGACAACTTCACCTTCTTCGCGCCGTCCGAGGAAGCTCTCAAGCAGGTGAGTACCAAGTAGGTGAAAGGGCGCCGGGCTGTCATCGTTTGGCCTAATTAGGCGTCAAATAGAGGTCCCTCTTTTTCTTTTTCGAGTGGCTTGATGGTTATCACCAAAATAGAACAAAAGGAAACCAAGTGCGAAATGAAGAAAAAGAACTAGATGAAGAAGAGAAACAATCAAGTCTGTCAAGCTTCCTTCTGGCTTGAGGTATTTTTTTTTTTGTTTCGTATGAGAGGAAACCAACAGATAACGATGCAAGGAAAGCATAGCTTACATTATCTGTCGTTTCTTAATTGCAGTGTAATGATTTCTGCCCAAGTTGGACGGAATTGAAATGGATGAAAAATCCACTTTCCGTGGGCCGGATCCTAACGCACAACCTTCGAATTACGCGAATGTGTCACTTCAAGTAGATGAGCTGCCACTTCTGGCGTGCCCGTGACGCCCTCTGGCAAGAAGGGTTTTACTAGACCACGAGTGGCACTGCCTAACACTGCCAGGTATTGAGCGCTCATAAGTACCCTATGTAACTTTCACTGATTACGGGAAGGAATTGCATTCGGTCCAGATAATTAGCAGTCATTCAGGCACTACAGAATCAGATCATCGACGAAGCCCACTGTAAGAAACCCACAGTGAATGTAATGCATAGTTCCCATAGTTCTTCATAAGGAAAGCGATAGAATCCCAATAAAGAAAGGTGTAAGGCAGGAAGACGATGTCTCTAATGCTATTCACCGCGTGTTTGCAGGAGGTCTTCAGTGCCCTGAATTGAAAAGAGTTTAGGATAAGAGTCGATGGCGAGTATTTTAGTAACCTGCGATTTGGAGAATTGATGAGTGACTCAGGGAAAGAGTCTCAGCTCATGATTACTGAACTGGACATGGAAAGCAGAAGAGTAGGTATGAAAATTAGTATGCATAAAACTTACGTGCAACAGTCTCGGTAGACAACAACGCTTTGCGATAGGTGGTGAGACGCTGCAAGTTGTAAACTAACATGTCTACGTAGGACAGGTAGTAACCGTGCAGCTGCACCATGAGTGAGATAACTAGAAGAATAAGAATGGGGTAAATCACATTCGCCAAGCATTCTCAAATCGTGAAGGATAATCTACCCTTAATTCTTAAAAAAAGTATATAACTTTGGTGTCGGGGTTTCAGTTCCGATTTGGAAACCAGTTGTTTGACCCGCCAGAGGGCGTTGTACATATGTATTTAATAGCATGCTTGGGTACATAAAAGAGCCCTGCTTGGCTACCGGCTGCTGCGTACCTCATGTCGGCCGGCGCTTCAGCGTCGTGCCCTGTGTTCTCCGTGCAGCGCGTCCACCGCACGATACAAACCGGACCCGAAACCCCGACATCACATCAATAACAGCTGCACGTTGCCTGTACTTACCCGTGGAGCAGAAACCTAGTGGCTTACAAAGAGGTTTCAGATTAAATTGAGGATGACACAGTGAGGGATGGCAAGGAAGATGATAGGTGTAACCTTTAGGAGAAAGCAGAGTGGGTCGGGGAACGAGCGGGCGTTAAGGGTATTACATATTAGGTCAAGCGGAAGAAATGGACACGAGCCGGCCACGTAGTGCGTAGACAGCTGCATAACCGCTGGTCATTAAGGGTAACTGACTGGATTCTAAGAAAAGACAAACGCGTGAGATTGAGACAGAAAATAACGTGGGCATACGAGATAACGAAGTTTGGAGGTATATCGTGGCGGCAGAAAGCACATGACCAGGTTTGCTGGTGGAACATCGAAGAGGCCTTTGTCCTGGAGTGGGCGTAGTCAGGCTGATGATGATGATGGTGGTGGCCATGAAGTATCCTACAAAAAGTGTTGTAGTGAAAGCGAAAGAGAACAGACACAGCGCCTGTGTGCCAGGCCGGCTGTTCTTATTCTGCTCTTCTTTCTGCTTCGCGCTAGTCGATCTCGGGACAGTCCCAAAGCGACGCTCTTGTTTTCTTACTCTGCCGTGACTGTGACGTAGCAAGGTGAGCTGTGGAATTGTTCCTGGCAGGCGACACTGGCTCTGCCTTCTTCTGCACGCCATGATGTTTCTTGAATAGGTGCAGGAGACTCTTAAAGAAGCTAAGAGCTTGCACAAAAGTAGAAGCTACGACGGAGCACCCTCGGTCGTTGGTTTAAGACATCGGATGGTAAATGGAAGATTGTGACTTCGAATTGCACCCATTAAAAGGCTGATTTTTTGTCCACTTTAGCACCTTTAAATTTAAGTAGGTGTCGTTAGGCTATACGATGAAGAGCCCACAAATGTCCCCTAAGGTTTTCTTGCCCTAATTAACAATCATTTTCATTGGTTGCGTATAATTAAGGATATAAGGTCGTCTGACCCTAGCAGAGTACCATAATGGTCACAGAGCTGTTCTTTGCGGCAGGTGTCATTGACCGAGTGGGAGGACCTGAAGAAGAGTGAGCGGCTGGCCGAGACCCTGCGCTACCACACCGTGCCGGGCCAGATGCTCTCCCCTCGGAGCTTCTTTAACAACATGCTGGTTGGCACCGCCCTGGGCGAGGAGCGCCCAATCCGGCTTAATATTTTCCCGCGCCTCTTCTCCTTCGAGCGGCCCACCGTGACGGCGCAGTGCGCCCGCCTGCTCAGCGCTTCCAGCCCCGTCTGCGGAGGGGCCGTCTACGTCGTCGACAAGGTGAGCTCAGCTCGCACTTTGTTACGCGCAGAGCACCGACAAACGAGAGGAATCCCTCCACTTCTGCAGGTTATGCGGCCGCCGGCCGGCAGCGTGCTGGAGCTGATCGAGTCTGACCCGGAAGTAAGCACGTTCGCGCGGCTGGTCCGCGAGACCGGCATGTCCGAGCAGCTTCGCTCCAACGCGGGTCCCTTCACGGTGCTGGCACCAACGGACAGCGCGTTTGCGCGGCTGCCTCGGGGAACACTGGACTCTCTGCAGCCGGAACAGGTTCAGGCTCTGGTCAAGCAGCACATCCTGCCAGGTGGGTGCCCGTTCTTCCACCATATCTATGTTCACCCAAGTGGATTCTGACCTCATTTTCATATTACTAACGAACACGTACTAGGACTACACAGAAAGACAAAATAGCTAGCACACAATCTTTTCAAGTACTTGACAGCCACTAGTGCACAATGGCTAAAGAAACGCAGGACAGCTACTATTACAAGGGCTATAAAGATAGACACGGGACACAGCACACAGGGACAATAGCAGAGACTGACGGGACAAGAGCTAACGCAAGAAGATCACACAGAAAGACACAGGACAGTAGGCAGTGTACAAATACAGTGATTGCAGAGACAGACAAGATAACTGCTAGTGGATGAGGATAACAGAAAGTGAGAAAGGGCAGCTGCTAGCACACAAGTGCTACAGAGACACAGGACAGCCACTAGTGCGCATAGAGAGATGCAAGACAATAGCTAAAGCACAAGTACAATGGCTACAGAGAAACAGACAGGACAACCTCTAGCACAGAAAGACTACAGAGAAAGATACAAGACAGCCACTAGCCCACAAGTACTACACAGAAAGACTCGGGTCAATAAGTAACACTAGTACAAGTACTACTGAGAAACACGCGGCATAACCTGTAGTGCACAAGGACTACAGAGAAAGACACAGAACAGCCTGTAGCACCGAAGGACTACAGAGAAAGACACAGGGTAACCTGTAGGGCACAAGGACTACACAGAAAGGCACATGACTATCTGTAGCGCACAAGGACTACAGAGAAACCCACAGGACAACCGCTAGCGCAGAATGACTACAGAGACAGACGGTACAACCGCTAGAGCATAAGGACTACTTAGAAAGACGCAAGACAACAGCTAGTGTAGGACAGTGACAACAAGATAACCGATAAGCACAAGTGAAATGGCAGCATGCAGTGAGTGCCAACTAACCCAGGTAAATCACTTTCTGGACCTACCTTTTTCCGCAGAGACTGCGTGCTCCAGTGGTGTGGGCCACAGCGGTTTCCTGAGTCGGCTGGAGTACCGCAACCTGGACGGCACTGCCGTGCCGACCCAGCGCAGCCTTCGCGGCAACGTCTACTTCGGAGGCGCTCGCGTATCGCGTCCTGACCTCGCCGCCCGCAATGGTCTCGTGCACCACGTGGAGCGCGTGCTGAGCATGCGCACTGCCGACGAAGACACTGGCTTTAACTTCGGCTTCGACTTGCACCCTTTCTTCCGCTCGCTTTAAAACTGGGTTGTGTGCATGGCTGTAGAATGGCAGCCTCCCTCGCTATTGTAGCGGATTATTTATCTGCTGGTCTCAGTGTGATCCTCCCACCGAGTGTAGATTGTTTCTTTTGGTATGAATAAACGACATTTTTTTGTTACTATTCTGCCCATTGTTGCTTTTTTGTCCGCTTGTTTACAAGCCGTTGGAGCCTCAGGGATGAGATTTTTGCTTAAGACATGCAGTAGCAACCTGCACGACGCTGAATCTACTGCATCGCAAGTCTATCGCAGAGGCCGAGGGTGTCAATTTAAACAATGTCGACTGTGTTGGGAAATTTCCTTTTGGTCAACTCTGATCGACCCCATGGTTTCTTACGGTCTCTCCGATTGCCTCAAAATACCGAAATTCGACAAGATGATCCTAATCCTCATCATTTCTTGTGCGGTTTATTTGGTAGGACATCCTGTGTAACCTGAGCTATCAGTGGCTGGAACAGAAGCCTCTGCAGAGATTAATGTGGTGGGCGCATGCGCCATGGTATCGTGAAAGAATGCGTGGAAGTCTTGGTTCACGCAAAGGATTGTGGGCTGCGTTGACCTCCGGTTCGAGATGCTGTACGGGAATTGTCCAGTTTGTCGCGCTTTCTGCCGTGTTCCTCCCAGCACTCGCGGTGCCCGTTTCTCACAAATTCCTGCATAATACTTTGGAGAACTATGCAGTTTAGTTGAACAAAAAAAAGTGTGGTCACTACGAGATAGTTATAAAAGAGTGAGTGGTCATTACTTCAAGTAATATGAACCTACGGAAATGCTTGTTGTTTTGTCGCAAATGGTGTCATCGTGCATGTTTTGTCACACACAATGATTTTCTGGACATCACAGCATCGCGAAATACCGATTCATTTGTTTTCATGTGGCTTACCCGTAAAGCTTATTTGTTTTTGTGTTACAAAGACACCATCCCTGATTTGATATAGTGAATGGCTATAGCAAACTGTTTATTACTCTGAAAACAAAATGTTCTCGTTGTCTTGTGACTTTTTGACGCCTTTCCATTTTCCTTTACGCGAGATCTCGTTCCTTTACGTACTCGAACAACGCGCTTGAATATGTGCGAAATTCTCCGCACGCAACATCCATTACAGAGCCTATCGGCACTTCACGCTTGCAAGTTCCATGATATCGTGAACAGAGGGGCCCGTGGGCCTTTTACGCGATGAGTGGTTTTCATAAATTTGACAGAGTACGCGTACTTGTGTTGCCATCGAACGTCATCTGGGAGCATGTGCTCATATATATGTGTGACTTAGTCATCGTTGGTGCTCAGAAATACTAAATCGAGATGGTCCTAGAAACTGAGTGCATGTTTCAAAGCATAATCGCATTGCGTTCGAAACCCACCTCTTACCGTTCTCAGTCAACTTCAACTTCGTTCTATGAAATGCGTGAATTATCGTCTATCCTCTTGCAAATAAAAAGGAGAACCTACTAACTTAACAAGCGCTAACAAACGCGCCGCGGAATTGCTCGTGTTTCCTTCCCGATAACAATGTGCCGCAGTCTCCTTGAAGCAGCGAAGGGCCTCGAACTGGAAGTACCGTAGCAGACGCCGTTTTGTTGCCCGCTGGAGGTTAGGTTAGGTTAGGTCTTGGTGCACACGAATTCATGACATTACGCCGATACAGCATTCTTCTAATATGAGCTAGTGAAAATATATTACGACCTCTTTGTGGGTTTTTTCAAATGGCAACGTTAGCTGACAGTTTCTTGAAACTCGCTCAACCCCTTCCCGTTCCAACCTTATTCGTTGTCCTGGCCCTTGCGGGACTGCGTTTAGTGACTGCAGTGACGTAAATTGTGGAAAAGAGTTGCTAAGCCCCCCCCTGTGCTCACGTCAAATGGGGAAACCCCTTGTAATTTGTACTTCAAACTCATACATCTGGATGGCCTGGCTGATAAATATATCATGTTCAACTTCATCTCTTTTCTTTTTCGAGTGTACCGGTGTTCAGTGGCCCCAGCCGAGGGAGAATATTGAAATTGCAGCTGCAGCTCCGTCGGTTACAAAGAAGCGTCAACAAAATACTGTCACGTGAGCTTGGTGCCCAAGTTGTTTTTTTTTTTTTGAGGTAGATTTCAAGGCTTGGTATTAATTTTTCATGTGGATTGAAAAATCCTACGTTATGGCCGCCATAGCAAGATGCGATTTATTCACGCCACTGGTTACGGTGCAAAGAACAGAATGACTCATTAAGCACCACGAGCCACTGGTGGCCGAGGAAGAGGAAAACGTCAGCGTGAGGCGCGATCGAGTGAGGCGCCCGAGTCGACGACGCTGGCTGGAAAGATGCTGCTGGCCGTCCTCTTGTACGCGGCCTTTGCGACGGCCACGGCGCACAACAGTGAGTGTTGTTTGAGAAAGCCCTGTTTGCGCGCAGACGTCGCTCTTTGTAACCGCTTGCGTGAAGAGACCTTTCGCTACAGTTGGAATATATTTTACTGGTAGCCGTCACAACAGCCTCGTGCTGAAAGTGACGCCAACGCTAAAAAAGGAAAGCGGTAGGCTTTCTTCGGAGCATTCGTCGACAATCGTGAACCAGCGTGCGCTTATAACCACACATCTCTGCTTGTGCCGCGCGTTAGTCGCATTTTTTTTGTACCGTTGCAAAATGGTTTTGACATGTGCGAGTTTGGACATTCTGAAAGAGTTGCCATATTGTAATCGCAGCTGGTGTATCGTAACTGCGGAGCAGAAACCTGCAGGATTACAAGAAGGGTTCCACCCTTATTGTGGATGATGCAGAGAACAACTAAAAGAAAAATGATAGGGGCAATCTCAGGAGATGAGAAGAAAGCAGATCTTGGTCATGGAACAAAATGTGTTAATTGATAAAATTATGTTTAAATAAAGAGAAAGACATGGGCAAGGCACGCTGGTCATTAAAGCGGCCACACTTTTTGGGCATGGTCAGAAAACGTGCGGTAGCCCAGGCTGAACACGTGTGCCAAATATTATCGCGCAGCACGTGGTTCGAATCAAGAATATATTCTCAGACAGCTAGAAATCTCTTTTGCTTCTCTCGAAAAATTACGGTGCAGGCTCAAAATCACTACGTACCATGCCTAGTGTCAGCCATCGACTCATTTGAACATGTATAGGTGCCTAGTGCCGCGGTAGACCCCCAGAAGGCGCTCAATCGCACTGAAGCTGCGCATTCGTAGAAAATATTGGCCCCGTATCTGCATGTTTCACTGCAAATATCGTCGAAAGACGATGGTCTTGAGTCTTGAGAGGACGAACAAAACATTTATTTGGTGCTCTGTGCGAGAAATTCGGTGTACTGCCCCGCCGCGGTGGTCTAGTGGCTAAGGTACTCGGCTGCTGACCCGCAGGTCGCGGGTTCAAATCCCGGCTGCGGCGGCTGCATTTCCGATGGAGGCGGAAATGTTGTAGGCCCGTTGTGCTCAGATTTGGGTGCACGTTAAAGAACCCCAGGTGGTCAAAATTTCCGGAGCCCTCCACTACGGCGTCTCTCATAATCATATGGTGGTTTTGGGACGTTAAACCCCACATATTAATCAAAGTAGGTGTACTGTATTCTGAAGGCGCTGCGTTATTTTGCAGCGAAGGCGAACGAGTGCATCGAGGCACGTGAGGCACGAGCGCTATCTGGCAGTTATCTTCCAAAACGAAGGAAGGCGTGCGCGTCTGTCTCGGAGGCGATATAGTGTAGAACCCAAAGCGACGGGCAGGTTCCACCACCATGTCGCTTTAGAAAAGCGTTGGACACTTGCCTTTTTGTGCGTAGAGTTGCATCGTCAGCGCAGCGCGATAAATGGTATGGTCCTCACTTATGTACATGCCTTCTCTAGTATAAAGACACGCATAAAGAATATTGACGTTTTGTTATTGTTCATCAGATATGCGCAAAAATGGTTTTTTAATGGACGATTGCACAAGTATGAACGCTGAAACTTGAGCAGTATTGGTGGCCGCTGCGAATGGGGTTAGATTTTGGTCACTTGAAGTATCGTTTCGGTGGACCAACAGACAAACGTACAGACAGACAAACATTTTTGCGTCGAAGTAGCCCACGAAAGATTATCGTTTTTAAAAAAACAACGAAGCAATCGAGGTCACGAGGCGTGCGTGGCAAAATCAAAATTTCTTCCCCCGTGCCATTCCTCCCTGCTTTCGTAGGAACGAGAGGAGAATGCGAATGCAGTCTGCGACAAATCTCCGCTCGAACCGTGCGGATTCTGAAAATTCTTGTGGGGGTGAATACGTGAGGTAATAAGTTCGTTTAGTGAATCCATTGCCTATAGCTACTTAGAAACGTCTTTGAGGGCAATTGACCGCATTGTACGAGAAGGCAATCGCCTGAGAGGAAAACAAAGTTAGGTTGGCAGATGAGATTAAGAGATTTGCTGGTATAACGTGGCAGCAGCAGGCACAGGACCGAGTTGATTAGAGGAACATGGGAGCCTTGTTTTGCTTAGCAGGCTGATTATGATGATCACAATGAGGTGTAACGTCGTACTCTTTGGCTCTGTCGAGGAGGAATTACGTCAAGTAGTAGACACAATATTGAGAACCAACAGATAATAATGCCAACAAAAGTATAGGGGGTGTTTTCAGAAGTAAATGCAACATAAATGTGATGAAAGAAAAAATAGACGAAAATAGATCTTGCCACCTGCAAGATCCGAAGCTGCGACCCTCGAAGGTCAGAAGTCCGCATCTTGCGGGTGGCAAGATATCTTTCCGTCCACTTTTTATTCTTCCCATTTAAATTAAGATTACTTCTAATAACACCCCCTATACTTGTTTTGGCATCATTTACTCTTGGTTTTCATTAATATTGTGTCTAACAAAGAAAACAAGCCCTTAGATTTACAGCGCTTTTCTTAATTGAAGTTTTTTATTTTTATTTATATGCTCAAAGGTTCCATATAGCACCTACATGAGGGGTGGGCGACATAAATAGGCGGTATCAAAAATAATGGTTAAGATACAGCAGAGTCAGCTTCTTGTATGGTATTCTTGAAGCGCGCAGAATCGCGGATGCCTCTTCCGTAAGGCCATTTCAGTCTCGGGCGGTGCGCAAAAAGAATGACTGCTGAAATGATGTGGTGTAAGCACGTGGCGGAATCACAATGTTTGAA